TTTTCAGCTTGACAAAGTATTGAGCTAAATGGATGCAGCTCTCACCGCTTATCTTGCATTTGCAGAGGTGAATTTCTCACTTGAGTTTTAATGTCTTCTGTTTGCGATTTGACTCAGTGTTAAAAAGGTTTTGTCCTCTTTCATCTAAGCAGGTTTGACAGTGAAGTATTAACATCGGTTACAGTATTAGCACACAAGGTAAATTCAGATTTCATTTTTACATTTTGAGTAGTTTGTGTTCTCATATTCAAAAAAAATGTTTATTTTTATTCCAACGTTCTGAAAACCAGGCTCAAGCTTTCACCAAATAAACAAAACACAAAGCGAAAAGTTAAGGAGAGAGACCTCTACCAGAGGAACCTTCTATCTTTGTTGATAGGCAGTGATCATCAACACAAACAAACAACAATACTCTCTATACATAGATCATGCGGAGCGGTTTCAAAACTTCTTTCTCAGTATTCGCCGCAGAAACTGGAATTGATGTGCTGTTCTCCATGTACCTCAGATTTATCGGCAAATCTATAGCCTTTGAGTTATATGGCTTTGGAGAAAAGAAACATAGATTAATCTCTGAGGAGGTAAAAAGCATCAACAGCACATGGCTATGTAATAGGGATAAATCTATGGATATTCTGATTGTTGGCATGGTTTATACGCTACTATTTATCTCAAAACCCATGTGATTGCACATATGTTGAGAATATTTGATGGATAAAGTCATGATTTGTTCATGCTTGTGCCTGCGAGCTAGCTGCTGAGTATCATCAAACTTCCCATATTACTGTGGCAACTCTTCTACTTGACAGTGATTGGATACTGGCAACGGGAGTGACACATCAGCCATCAAAATTTTGTGACATTTATACTTTGGCTTTTTAAAAAATGAAGACATTCAGTTTGGAACTACTTTTATTTGTTTGACACTGATGTATTTATTCCAACTTAGATTGATTTTTGCATATCTAATCTGAAATAATTGTTGAAGTTTTATATTCAAGGCTCCCAAAAAAATTAATTTAGACTAAAAAAATTAAATCGAAACCGATCCAAAAATACATGTTCGGTTTTGATTTATGCAAAGTATCTATTGAGTATTTTTCTGAATCCGTAAGTCTCTATTCGGGTACCCAAAGTTTCTAAAACATTTAGTGTATATTAGATATATTTGGTTATTTCAGATATGTTTTCGGTATGAAATATATTTCTTCAGTTTGGATTTTACGTTACAGTTTTAAATTTCAGATAAATTTCCATTTTTCTAAATATATTTTAAGTATTCAAATAAACATATAAATAATCCCTATAAATAAAAATGATTATAAGAGAATTATATCAAGAGTAAAATTTTTTATATCAAATCACTACAGTGAAACCTCTATAAGTTAATAATGCTGGGATTATACCAAAATTATATTTTTTTAATTAATTTAGAGAGATATTAATTTATCGATATACTAATCAAACCAAAAACTCAACTTGGAACTATAAAATGATATTATTTTATAGAGATATTTAGTATATTAATTTATAGAGGTTCTACTGTATATGGTTTGTCGATTTTTTGAACAAAATATAAGAATCTATCAAGGTATTAAATTATTAGTAGGATATATTAATTTGGTTATGGGAAAATAATATTTTTTTAATTGCTACTAATATGGCTATCTATTCTAATGTTATAGGGTTAAGGAATAAAGGCAAGACTAAAAATATTAATGAATAGGTGCAACAATATTTTATAAATAGATTTTTTTATAATGATTATAATTTAATAGTATATATATTATTAAGTCTTTTAGTTCAAGCTTTATGTTAATAAAATTACTAAAATGACATTATACTTCTTTTTATACTTATATATATGTTTCTAAACAATACTATATTCTTTTTTATCATACTATCAACGTTATCAAAAATAATTTCATTTATATTTTAGTTTTAATAATATAGATGTTAAATAACACATATCATATTAAACACTAGAAGATGAATAAAAAGAAATAAATAAAAAAATTTACTAATGAAGATAAAAATAAAATACATCCACAATTAGCTTATTACCTGAAATGACGTGCAAAATATATATTAAATATATTGATATTTGTCTAATCCCGGGCGTAGCCCGGGTAAAATCTCTAGTAGTATTAATTAGAAGAAAAGAGGGAAGATTAGCGCGCCATTGTTAAATTAAATTACACAAAGTTGCATAATACAAAAAGAAAAAAAAAGGGAGAATTTCAATTATACCACTTTGGTGGTACCACTTTTCATATTTACCATCAACAAAAGAACATTTTCAAAAATACACATTTTATTAAAGGATAAAAGACTCTTATATCATTATTCTTTATATATATACATAAAATAAATATTAAATAAAATATTAACCCTAAACCCTAAAACATCAATTCTAAACTCTAGACCCTAAAATGTAAACCCTAAACCCTAAAAATCAACCCTAAACCCTAAAATATAAATTTTAAACCTTAAACCCTAAACTCTAAACCCTAAAAAGTAAACCTTAAACCCTAAAAAATCAACACTAAACCCTAAACTATCAATCCAAAACCTTAAACCCTAAATTCTAATAGTATTTTGAGTATTAAAATTTGGGAGAATTTCAATTATACCACTTTGGTGGTACCACTTTTCATGTTTACCATCAACAAAGGAACATTTTCAAAAATACACATTTTATTAAAGGATAAAAGACTCTTATATCCTTGTTTTTTATATATATACATAAATTGAATATTAAATAAAATATTAAACCTAACCCCTAAAAATCAATTCTAAACTCTAGACCCTAAAAAGTAAACGCTAAACCCTAAAAATCAATCCTAAACCCTAAAATATCAATTCTTAACATTAAACCCTAAACTCTAAACTCTAAAAAGTAAACCCTAAACCCTAAAAAATCAACAATAAACCCTAAACTATCAATCCTAAACCCAAAACCCAAAACCCTAAATTCTAATAGTATTTTGACTATTAAAATTTTAGTGGTAAAGTTGGTTAGTGTAAAGTTGAAAAGTGGTATCTTGAAAGTGTTATTTTTGGCAATTTCCCTTAAAATTTAGTGGTAAAGTTGGTTAGTGTAAAGTTGAAAAGTGGTATCTTAAAAGTGTTATTTCTGGCAATTTCCCAAAAAAAAACTGAAACCTTCTTATTACAAAAAATAAAAATTAAATTAATCAAAAAACAAACTAAGCAGCAGTCAACCCAAGAAAATCCGCGGCAGACTTAGCCATCATATGCGCAAACTCACTAAAACTAATCACACCGTCACCGTTAGAATCCGCCTCCGTCATCATCTCCGTCAACTCACGATACGTCAACGGGTGTCCCATCTTCGCCATCGACCCCGCGAGCTCCGCGGCCGTGATCCGACCGTTCCCGTCGCGATCGAACGAGCGGAAAACCTCCATGAGCTGCTCCTGGTTGATGAGCACCTCCTCGCTGAGGTCGGGGAGGATCGCGACGACGAGCTCGTCGAACTCGACGGAGCCGTTGCCGTTACGGTCGATCTGGTTGAGGAGGAGAGAGATCTGGTCGCCGCGGGGTTTGATGCCGAGGGAACGGAGGAGGGCGGCGAGCTCGAGGTGTGTGAGGCTTCCGTCTCCGTCCATGTCGAAGCGTGTGAAGATGTCTTTGAGTTGTTTGAGTTGGTCGGTTGGGTTTGAAGACGCCATTGATGGAGGAAGGAGGGAGAGAGAATGGTTGTTATTAAAGACGAAGAAGCGCGTTGATGGAGACGAAGTTGTGATAATAATAACAATTTTAATTTATTTATTATTGGATTGTATTCCCGCGTAGTTAATTAAAATTTTTGTCGCATTATCTTTAAATTTTTTTACTGATTGGTGGTATGGATTTTGTTTCTGTTTTTCAATTTTTTCTTTTTTGGAGATTCTTTTGCTATTGAAATTGTTTTTCAATTATTGATGAGATATTAAATATATGGAGACAAAAGGTTGACGGTGGATATCATTTAAATCGGAAATTGAGTAGGAAGCACATCAGACAACTATACTCTTGTTTTTTTTTTTTCAACCTATACTCTTACTTTATAATAATACTAGAACCGATCTATCCTACGGACGAGATGATAGTTTAAAATAATTAAAATATTAATCACTAGAATGTCTCTCTAATAATATAGAATTTACCAAAAACATTAGTCACTAGAATGTCTCCCTAATAATATAGAATTTACCAAAAACACTTAGAAAAAAATTAACATTCTATTCTATATTAAATTCTAAAATAGTATAGTACATCGGAATGGTAACTGTTCATCTTCTCCAAAGTTTTCATTTTTATATCAATCAATATAGATGAACAGTTTGAAATCAGACTCATGTATCGATCATTATTGTGTTCGAGTGAAATGAACAAAACCACCGCTGATCTCTGCTCATCACCTTTTTGGGAATCGTCGTCGTTTATGTTTCTTCCCAATGATTCTTCTTTTGTTATTGTTTTTACACATGAATCATATATGATACTCGCAAAATTATGTCTTATTTGTGATCTTTACAACAATAAATATATATAACACCAAAAAAAGACCACTTAAATATTGAAAACACACGCGCAAAATGATTTTGTCATTAATACATAATATATAGAAAATATTATAGCTATCAACTTATCATGTGTATATACTTAATATTTTTTCTATTATGTACATTCCTCTAAATTTTCCATATTTAAATGGGCCGTCTGGTTTAATCGTATGATCTTTTATATTACATGTAATGTTTTTTTTCTTTTGAAAGAAAACAACTATTTTGGCCTCTGAACCAGGCCAATTGAGGCTAACAATTCTTACATAAACGCTGGGCTACATTTTATATCAACTATGCCTACTATAGTGATGTGTTGCATTTTAAAATTTGTAAAAATATATATAACTAACCTAGTAAAAGTATGTTATTATACAGCAAAATCTCTATAAATTAATAATGTTGAGACTACACCAAAATTATTATTTTTATTAATTTATAGAGTTTATTAATTTATTGATATACTAGTTAAACTAAAAATTTAATTTGAGACTATAAAATTATATTATTTTATAAAGAATTTTAGTATATATTATTTATAAAGTATTAATTTAAAATTGTTATACTGTAGATCTCTATCATTGTTATGTTCTGATCAAATTAATTCTTGTTTGAATTTTGCGATAGTAGAACATCTGGTTTCTGCACTCGAAATTAAGTTTTATGTTCTAAACTTATAGTCTTCTATTTTACTTTTAATCTTCATAGGGGCTGCATTCCAAAAAGGATATGTATCTAAAATGTCAAGAAATATCTTGAACTATGATGTTATAAGATATGCTAAATATTATATTCAAAAGTTTCCTAGACTATTATGACAAGATATATATTACTTTTATTTCTTTACTTTTTTATATATTTTCATAAAAAATAATAATCAAATAATCAATCTTATAAATGGCAAACTATTAAAGTGAATATTTATGTTTAGTTGTATGATGTAAGAGCTTGAAAAACAAATGTCTTGACAAAGAAAGGCTGAACAACACTAATGCATGACTTGGATTCTAAAATAATAAAATCTAATTTAAATACGTTTCCATAAATGTTATTAAATAATAAAAAATCTAAATTTGTCTACATTTCCATAACTTGGCAAGATGTTCATAAGTACGTGTCACTTCACATGGCATCCCCCAATACTATAAAAGAACCCTAAACATCTCAGCTATTATTATCATCAACACATACATAAATGGATAACAAAACAATCTTCGTTCTTCTCCTCTCCCTCGTTATCTTCCCTCTCTACGCGTCCGAGGCGGCGCCTATGGGAGGTTGGAGTCCCATTAGTGACGTTAAGGATCCTCACATCGTAGAAATTGGGGAATTTGCTGTCTCTGAATACAACAAGCAGAACACAGCGGGACTAAGGTTTGTGGAGGTTGTTAGCGGAGAGTGTCAGGTAGTCGACGGCATGATGTACCGGCTTATTGTGGCGGTTAATGAAGGCATAGGCATAGCCGGCTTAGGTGAGAGGAAGAAGTACGAGGCGGTTGTATGGGAGAAGCCGGGGTCGAAAACTATGAATCTCAAATCCTTTAAGCATGTCATGTAATTGTTGTTTCCTATTGAGTTTCATGTAATCCATATATGATAAAACACAGCAAAAAGATTAATTAAATAAAAATAAATAATGTCATTTTATCGTTTCTGAATTTCATGTAATCCATATGAATATGATGATATATACAGCAAAAATATTAATTAAATCAAAAGAATTAATGTCAAGTTATGTTTTATTTGGTTTTCTAGTTTCATGTTTGTTGGGGTAAATAAATGGTATTTAAATTGCACACAAGTGTTGAAACATCCACCAATTATGCCCGGGTAAATCTGCTAGTTCACGTAAGACTGAAAATGGCCACGGTCCTTCTTTTGTCCAACTTTTAGAGATCTTCTCGTTTTGCTTGAATGTTAAATAAAAATGATCTTCTAAAAGTAAGAGAAACTCAAATCTGTATGATAATCAAAATGTGTTTACAAAGTATTTATGATAATTTATGTGTAAAACAATGATTTCGATATACAAGGAAGGTAAACGTCAAACAATAATAAAATCCATTAGAGTATCAAATCTCAAAAGCTTAGAACCAAATAATTATTCCTTCATTAAAAACATTTAACGGTACAACAACAATGAGAAAAACAAAACTATATCAACTAATTATTTGTCCAATGTGGAATGGAAAAAAATACAAACCTAGGAAGTTATATTCACTGCAAACAATTATGCAATCAAGTTTCTCTGAGTCTAAAACTCATTTGAAAATAAGTAAGAAGCAATTGAAAGTTTCCACTTTGCACTTGCAGCCTAATTTGTTCCATAAGTAGAAAAGAAGTGTGGGCTCAGAATAAACCAAAATTTTAAATTAACTTGTATAAAATTAATATAAAACTGATATAAAAGTTGTATAATTATCAAAGAGTACAATTAAGCATTTTTTTCTAAATTTTTTAAAAATATAAAAGAAGTCAACAAAATAATACTTCAGTTTTTTTTTTAAATATTGTTATGTTTATATTAGGTAAAAATAAAAAAAATTGAAAATAACTTTTATTAATATAATTTTATAATCATAAAAATAAATAATATTTCAGTTTTTGTAAAATATCCTTATGTTTATATTATTATATTATTTAATATTAATTTTGAATAGATTTATTATAATGATAATGTATAATTTAATATCATATTCTAAAAAATTTACCAAAAACATAAATATATATTAAATGTAATTATCTATGTAATATTAAATCATTAACCATGTCATCTTTTTAGTAAATTATGTTACATTAATTTAGTGAAAGTGATCGTAAAGGAGACATATGTCAAAATTATTTTACAAATAATGTATAAAGGATGGCATGGTTATAACTCTAGTAGTTTCCAGTGAACCCCTTACCTTTCCAAATGAACCACCACGTACTTCGACTTGAAATTACTAATAATGTGTTAACTATTGGAAACTTGATGTCTGTTTTATCTCTATTTTCCCATTTAGTGGGGCTAGACCAAGATTAAGATTTTGGATATTATCAACCAATGTACGACTAAACAATTGCTAACAGCATTTTAATTTTCAAAATCTTAAAGAAACAAACTAGAAAATAAACAAAACTGTTTGGCAATGAGAACACACACACTTCACCTAGGGTCTCTCTGTTTTGTCCAAGAAAAGCTAAGTATTACATAAGAAGCAACTTTTATTTTGAGATCCTGCGAATGGCCTATTAGACACAAAATGTAAAACATTGAAAATTGTTAGGGATATTAACTAGTATATAAGATAGATGCGTCAATCTACTTACACCAATTGCGTTTAGGTTGGATGTCCATATATCTTAACATGGTGTTAGAGTTCTCGATCCACAAAGTCCAACCCGATCCTCATCGATCTGGCTCAAAGATGGCTCATCGATCCTTGTCCGAACATTCTGAGATTGATGCTCAGAGAACCATCATCCCGATGGGGTGTATTAGACACAAAGTATCTCCCATCAGAAGTTGTAAGGGATATTAACTAGTATATAAGATAAATGGACTAATTTACTTATCACCAATTGGTTTTATGTTGGAAGCCCATCTACCTTAACATGGTTGCCTCTAAATAATGTACATAGATCAGATTTAATCCAAGCATCCTTTCTTGAAGAGTACTTCTACTGATCTTTGTTGACACTCGCAACATCCAAACTCGAGACAATATTCTTCAGCAGAGCACCAAAATATCTGATCACATTAGGACCAAACTCAGGCCATGAAACCACCAATGTTCCTCTATTGTAATTCACCTGACACCGGCTCAAAAGTGAAGCACTCAGACCATCAATGACACTCCCTGATGGGAAGTAATCCAGATTCACACGAGATGTTGTTGTTGCTTTCTTCTTAGATGATGTCTCAAGTTTAACGTCTTGAGTGTAGCAGCCAATGTCTCGTCTGGGGAGAGTCTGCCTCTAAAGTTATGGTTCTGAATAGAATCCAAGATTATAACCCGCTCAGGGATAATGTCTTGACGAATGAGCATTTTTGAAACTAGTTTAAACCGTTCATGAGATACAGGAAGCTGAACAGAGACGCGGAGGATAGAGTTTTTATTATTGCTGCTGCTTAACGAGTATATGTTGCAAGATTTGTCTTATAAAGAAGGTTTCCTGGTGTTTCCAGAGAAGAGGACTATAGGCATGATGAGACTTCCAAGGAGAGTTTTTAAAGGTAAATCGTGTTGGAAGACGTTTAGGGAAGGTGAAAATACGGTTATGAGTAGAGATGGTCAGAGAGGTAGTTCATGTTTCAGGTTTGAGAAGATAAATGGAAAGGATTAGGATGGTGAGACAAAGTTGTTAAGATCTTCTTAGACACAAACGCGTAAGTGAATCAAATGCAGACAGTGACTTATGTTCGTTCGTAGACCTATAAGAAAAAGTTATTGTTATACACGAAAAGAACATATATATCAAAGCTAACATAAGAGGTGCTCAAATGTTTATTGGATTATTCATTATATTTTTATTTTTAGATATTTGGATTGTTATTTATATATATATATATATATATATATATATATATATATATATTAAATCAATGGCATTGACAAATTGTTTTGAAATGATAGCATACTATTAATTTTTATGAAAACATACAACAACTTATGTAAAACAAAACGGTCTATTTAGCCAAATAAAAAAAAAGTTTTACAAGTTCGCCAAGCCAAATTAGTAAGTAGACTATATGCCTATATGGCACTAAACCCTTTTTAAAGCTCTTTTGCAAATAATAATTACTTCGCAACTCTTTTGCTATCGAGCAAACTAAATATTTTCCTTGATAAACTACAAAATATATTTATAAAAAGACAATTAGCCGAATATCATCGTTTATTTATTTGGTCTTTCCACAGATTCTAGAAAGCTCCGGGAACGTAACGCATTAATACACTTTTATTGGCAGGCACTATCACTAGACCCTCCACGAGTTTTTGTCGTCTTGTGTTCCTCTTCATATAAAAATTTCTTTCATTTTCAAAGTTAACTCATCAACCATATGTTTTTACAACGTCATGGACAATTATATTCAGCAATCAAAATATCATAATTGAAGAAATATTATGTTGGACAACGTAATGGGTCACAACTTGACGAATTTCTTTCGTGAGCAGTGAAAAAGTCACCGGGTATATAGACACTAAGACACATAAGATATTGTTCCACAATTCATTTTTCTGCGTACCAAAATTTGTTACTTCTTTAGAATAATTTTAAACATTGACCAACGTTTTGGAAAAGGATCATGGTGTCTACTGTGTGACTGTGTCTAGGTCCAAACCGATTCGTAAATACTATTCTTATATTTTATACAATAATTTCCTGTTGAGAATTCGACGTAATCCTAACATGTGGTTCCATGGAAGAGATCGTTCAATATATGTGGTAAATATTGCTCGGCTATAGCATTAATGTAAGAGAAATAAAAAAATAAGTATGTCAACTTGTGGTTGAAAATAGTTGCAGTTTATAAAAAAAAAGACTCTCATTAACCATATGTGTGTTGAAGTAGGTCAAAAGTTTTCCTGAAAAATAATAATACAATGTTCAAGTTTTACATAATAGTAATGCGCCAGGTGAAATTCAAGATAACATTCTTGGTGGACTTGTCACGCTCGGAGTGATGCTTTAAACTGGATGAAAAAAGATATAAAAATAAAGTGGAACAAAGATATAAAATAAATAAATAAACTAATGATTCAGTATTTGATTAAATTGCAAAAGACAAGGAAGAAGAAGGGCCACCATTTTAGCACTATTTTGTTTTCTTTCTTGTTTCCCATATATATATATGTTTTAATGATGTTTAGTGCAAGTGTATTTATGCGGCGAACAACCTCTCAAATGTGTTGATATATATCGTCATAATTGATCAACATCTACTTTTGTCATCTTTTTATTTATTAATTTTCATCTAATAACATACATAATTACATGACATGACGGAAATATTAGTGTAAAAACTAGATTGTAAAGTTTCATCAGCATTGTGTCTTTCATTTGGCATTTCATTTTCAGAAATATCTTACGTGTTCAAAGTATTGATTTCAGAATAGAGTGAATGTGGTCAATATACGATAATAATGTGGAAATTAGCTATATGCCTTTTCAATAAATTTATAGGTACCAGACAACATAAAAAGACAATTAAACCCTTCATGAATATCACGTGAGGAGAAAGAGGAGAGGAGGGGGAGGAAGAGAAAGGAGGGAGGAAGAGGAAGAA